CCCTGTAGCAGCCTCTCAGATTTCACCAGTTTGGGTCAATTTTGCTGGGAAGCTGGATGCAAAAAACTCCAAAAGGTTGATGTGAGGTGGGGCAAACCAGCATGCGAGCTGTCAGCAGTAATATTGCTTTCCCTGTAAGGAAAGAAGCCATGCGAAGATAAATCTGAAAATTCTGTAAAAATGGTCAAAATTGAGAGGGAGAGTCTCTGTTATTTTTTGGAAAGTTGTTTTAAGACCTGTAGTGGTTTACCAGTAGCTTGCATACCTTTTGGTAGCCTTCCCCTTGCTAGCTGGGTAGTGGTGCAGCTGCAAGATCTGCAAGATCTTCGTCTCTGGCAGGTCGGTTTTGATATCCTTGCTCTGAGGAAGGGCCATAAAATAACAACAAAGGATTTTACTTTTCTGTATAAATCCGTGAATAGCAAAACTGTTTTCCTAGCTCGGTAGTCAGCGCAAACGATCCCTGCAATGCTACAGTCAATGAAGTGTGGATATAACAGAGCATGATGCGAGTGTATCCCCCCCGTGAAGGATGCAGGTGATATTTTTTGTTGCTGCTTCAAAGCGGATTTATGTTTCCGTTGCCTTGTTTCTCTTCCCAGTGGACAGCGACACACCGGTGACCCTGGGTGTTTATTTAACCAAGAAAGAGCAGAAGAAATTACGGCGACAGACTCGGAGAGAAGCCCAGAAGGAGCTACAAGAGAAGGTCAGGCTGGGCCTGATGCCGCCGCCAGAGCCCAAAGGTAAGGCTGCAGCAGGCTGCGTGCCAAGAGCTGGGCTAACGCAGGCCCTTAGCTCTTAAACCAGTAACCTGGGCCAAGGATGAACGGCAAACTGGGCTGCTGGGAACCTCTCAGAGCTCCCCTCTTGTTTTCCTCGCAGTAAGAATTTCAAACTTGATGCGCGTGCTGGGGACGGAAGCTGTTCAGGACCCAACAAAAGTTGAAGCGCACGTCAGAGCGCAGATGGCAAAGAGACAGAAGTAGGTGGCACGCTGAACATTCTGTGTTTGTCCTTTCTAGGTGGAATTAGTGGTGGTGCTGCTTTTGTTCCTAGAGAATGAAATCCCTGAACAAAGCAAGAGCAGTGGGATTATGTGCGTGTGGTGCTCTTGCAGCCTGTTTCAGCTGTCCTGAATGGGCTCCCCAAAGCCCTGCGCAGGGAGAATGGTCTGAGGGATCGATTCTTGGCACTGAAGAGGGACTTTGTGCCCCGTATTAAATGAGTTTCCTACCATGATGATGATTGGCATCCCAGTTGTTACTAATGAATGTGTTCAGGGAAGTGACCAGGGGAGAATTGGACTGGTGACTGGATTAAAAAAGCCTGTGGCCTTTTAATTCAGGCGGGTTAAGGTGGGAATCTGGGTGGAAGTTGAAGCTGTTTTGGGATCCGTGGAACATATTCTTTGTTTAGGAATTGAAGGGTCCGTTTTGACGCTGTAACGGGTACGTTGTAGGCTGCATTTCTGCTTATTGCTGTGTCTCTCTGTACCCAGAGCTCACGAAGAAGCAAATGCTGCAAGAAAACTAACAGCAGAACAACGGAAAGCGAAGAAGATTAAAAAGCTCAAGGAAGATGTTTCACAGGGAGTTCACATAGCTGTGTACAGGTGAGTGCTGGGCTATGCACTCTTGACAGATGCTTGTACACGTGTCTGTTTTCTAAATAAACCTGAGAAATGCCCTACAGAAACGTGCTACTAGAGAGGATGCAGCTGGGATTGAAGATTCTGATGAGGAGACTGATTTACTGGGATATCAGAGCTCACTTGATGCGTTGCTGTTCAGAAATGTTAGGAAAATTTCAAGATCTAAACAAAGCTTGAATAGGAAAGGATAGGTGCAGCCTCTGAGCAGTCTGATTACAAGAATAGATGATTTGGAAGTGTAAGTAAAGCTCTACATCTCTGAGGAGCTGGAGGCAGGAAACATTGGAGACCCAGCTGAGGAAGGGTAGGGAGTGCTTAGGCTGATGATAATAACTGTTTTTCTACAACCTGTTGTTCTTTATCCCATTTTCAGGGTCCGAAACCTGAGCAATCCAGCCAAAAAATTCAAAATTGAGGCGAACGCTGGCCAGCTGTACTTAACAGGCGTGGTGGTTCTACACAAAGACGTCAACGTGGTCGTAGTAGAAGGAGGTGAGGACTTGGGAGGCAGGCTTTTTGGTCACAGGGTGGTGTTCTAAACCTTGCCTCTAGCGACAATTATACCTGCGTGTGAAAACAGCTGACTGAGGGTTATGGAAAAACGAGGAAGGAGAGAGGCAGCTTTGAAACTCCCTTAATTACTGTTATAATGGGGTTAGCACTGACTGCAGAGAGCGCTGTAATCCAGTTAGAAAATCCAGTACACTTGATGCTGAAGGGAAAACACGCTTTAGATTTAGATCCTTGCTTCTGCCCAGAGCAAGGAGGGCCTCGGCTCAAAGCCTGCAGCGTTTTCTCACAGTTTGCACAGTTCTAAGCATTTTTGCAAGGTGTTGAAGAGCGTTTTTGGTAGCAAGAAATCCTGAGATGACCAAGAGCTAAGTGCTGTGCCAGTGGCTGTGAGAAGACTGCTGTGTTTGTGGGGGCCGTTGGTTTCTGCTGCTTTTTAGAATCTCCTAAAAGCTGAAGGTTAAGGAACGATGTGAATGTGATTCTGACTTTTCCCCAGGCCCGAAAGCACAGAAGAAATTCAAACGTCTTATGCTCCATCGAATAAAATGGGATGAGCAAACATCAAACACAAAGGGAGAGGGTAAGTGTAAAGGTCTGTGGGGAAGGGGGTGGCAGGAGATCACCTCGTGGCCATGGGGAGGAAAAGCTTTTCTGGAGGAGACCAGATTTAACCAAAACGCAGCCCTCTGTAACAAACACACCAGTGCTGGAGGGGGAAAAAACGTTGGGGTGTGCATTTGTGGAGAATATCTTGCAATTCCTGAGTGTTCCTGGTGTGTTGTGCAGAAGCTGGGGGGTCAGAGTTTTGGGGTTTGACGAGGCAGCCGCTCGAGACAGCAGCTCTAAATGCCATCGTGCAGCAGAGGGGGTAGAAGGGGGCAGTGAGGCAGCAGCTGGGGTCCTGCAGGACTAGAATTTGCTTTTTGTTCCTTTTTCCAGATGATGATGAATCCGATGAGGAGTCTGTTAAGAAAACAAACAAATGCTCTCTGGTTTGGGAGGTGAGTAGCAGTTCTGATCTAATCTGATCTCCGGGGATTTGAGTGGGGCGGAGGCTGAACCTGTCCAACGGAGCAGCTGAGGTTGAAACGATCAAATGACAATCCACAGAACTGAACAAAAACATCTCCGGGCTCTTTCTGTACACATCTAACTGCAGTGGAATTACGAGTATCTCCCCTGCAGCGTAAGGTGTGCTTGTGCAACAAACTTATCGCTTGTTAACCCAGGAGAACATTTGTTCCCAGGTTCCCCGAGGGGTTCGGAGCCTTATTTCAGGGACTTTCCCCCCAGAGACGTGTTGCCAAGTGTCCCGTTTCTCCTTCCAGGGCACAGCAAAGGATCGCAGCTTTGGCGAAATGAAATTTAAGCAGTGCCCCACTGAAAACATGGCACGGGAGCACTTTAAAAAACACGGCGCAGAGCACTACTGGGACCTGGCTCTGAGCGAGTCCGTGCTGGAATCCACAGACTGAGGGTGCCGCTGCCCCGGCACCCCTCTTTGTTTGAGAACAATACCTCGTGGGATCTTGGACAAAACCCCTTCCTCCCCTCCGGTCTCCACAGTACAGCGCATACGATTAAAGAAATATTTTTTAAAACAAATCAGTTACACGTTTTCTGGATAAATTCAGCCCTTGGAGATTGCAGCGCAGGGCGGCTGCGCTTTAGTGTCTCTTACCTTCTCCGAAAAGAGTTGCTTGGGGGTTAGAGGGGAGAAACAGTTTTCAAAGATGTCTTTAGTCCTTAGGGAACGAGCCCACGGTCTCAGAGTGAGGTACGAGGGGCGAGGGCACCGGGCAGGGTTCGTGGTGCCCCGGGGCGACGTTTTCCCCGCGGGGCAGAGGGGGGTGAGCACGGGACAGCCCCGCGGGCTGAGGGCGCAGGGGAAGGAGCACTTGGCGTTTGTAAAGCAAGAGTAGGAGACGGGGACTTAGCCCACATCCTATATTTCAATAATAAACGTTTTTTTTTTAAAAGCTGAAGCTGTGGTAGTCGATGTGAATTTCTGGGGGGTTGGGGGGGGGAGCAGCGGGGCCGGGGGCCTTTTTGCCCGGGTGTTTTAACCAAAGGCTGACCCTGCTATGGGGGTGCATCCCTGTGAGGGACGTGAGGTGATTCAGCCCCTGGGGCTGGGCAATGGGGTGGGGAGAGCGGTAAGGCTCCCGGTAAGGCTCCCGGTAAGGCACGGATCTCCGGTAAAGCTCCCCAGTAAGGCAAGGCTCCCCGGTAACCTGATATGGCACGGGTTCCTAATAAAGTTTCCCTAATAAAGCTTCTGGTAGGGCAAGGCTTCCTAATAAGGCTCCCCGGTAAAGCAGCCCGGTACAGCTCGGTGTCCCGGTAAAGCTCCCCAGTACGGTTCGGTGTCCCAGTAAAGCTCCCCAGTAAGGCACGGCTTCCTAATAAAGCTCCCTAGTAAAGCTTCCCGGTAAGACACGGCTCCCCGGTAAGGAAAAGCTTCCTCATAAAGCTCCCCGGTACGGGACAGCTTCCTCACAGGGCTCCCCGGTGAGGCGCGGCGTCCCGGTAAGGCTCCCCGGTAAGACCCCCATTAAGGACACATCCCCCCGCTAAATCTCCCCGATAGCTCAGATTCGGCTTCCCGGTAGTGTTAAGCACCCCGATAGACCCCATTTCCCGGTGGGCCTCCCCGCTCCGCCTCCTCTCCGGGTCCCGTTTCCCTCAGCGCCCGCCCCTCTCCCCCCCCCTCCCCTCCCGCTCTGGCGGCGGCCGCCATTTTGTGGCGCGGGGCAGGCCGGGAGCCCCTCAGAGGGGGCGGGGAGCGCGCAGGGCGCATGCGCAGCGCGTGAAGGGGCCGGAGCTGAGGGGGGGGGCAGGGGGGGGGGGCGCCGTGTGAGGGAGCCTGGCACAAAATGGCGGCGGGGGGGCGGGCGCTGCTCTCGGGGGGGGCCGCCGCCGACTGAGCGGCTCGGCCGCCTCCTCCCCGCACATCCCCGGCCCCGGGGGGGGGGCTTCGGGGCTTCAGGGGGGGCCCCTCCGGCCGTCCGCGAGCCCTTTGGGTTGAGGTGTTTTGAGGCGGCTTCGTCAGCCGCAGCCTCTCCCCGCCCGCCCGCCCAGCGGTGAGGGCCGCGGCGGCGTTTTTGGGACCCCCCCCTCCCCCGGGGGGGAGGCGTGAGGGGGGGTAAAAGAGGAGGCTGCGCCCACCCCCCCCACCCCCCCTCACGGCGGGCAGCGGCCGTTGAGGCTCCGCCGAGCGGCCGAGGCCCCGCCTGGGCGAGGAGGGCAGGAAGATGGCGGCGGGCGGCGGCGGCAGGGCCTCGTCGTCTTCCTCCTCCTCTTCCTCGGCCGCCTCCTCCTCCTCGTCCTCCTCCTCCTCCTCGGCGTCGTCTTCAGCCGGCGCCCTGGAGGCCTCGCTCGACAGAAAGCTGCAGGCGGTGACCAACACCATGGAGTCCATCCAGGGCCTCTCCTCCTGGTGCCTGGAGAACAAGCGGCACCACAGCACCATCGTCTACCACTGGATGAAGTGGCTGAGGCGCTGTGAGTGCGGCCCCGGGGGTGGGGGACGCCCCCTTCCACCCCCCCCACCCCTATTCCCTTCCCTCTTTCCCCCTCCTGGGGGCTCCCACCCGAAAAAAAAACAAAAAAAAAATCCCCAGGGTTGAGGGTCCTGAGGGGATGGGGACAGCCCTGAGGGGGGGGGGGGGGGGGGGATTGGGGCCTTGTTGTGGGCTCGGGGCTGGTGTCCTTGGGGGGGGCTCTGTGCTGAGGGGGGTCCCCAAGGTGATGGGGTCCCTGAGTTTGTAGGGTCCCTGTGTGGATGTGAGGGCAGAGCGGGGTCCCCAGCCCCATAATCCAGCCCCAGCCGCTTGCCCCATGGGCAGGGGGCAGCTTGGAAGGGGGGGGGGGGCTGGAGCTGTGGGGTCGCCCCCCTGGGTTCCCAACCCAATTCAGGAATCGAGCTGCGATCTGGCGGCCTCTGAGGCGTGATTACCCGGAGATATTCCGGCCTTGAGTAGCTCCTGGGTGAGCTTTTTGCTTAGAATCGCAGCTTTGTGCTTTAAAATTAAAAAAAGTGGTACCTTGGGCCTCCGAAATCCTGCCCGCGCTCGCCTCGCTTGCGGTGCGTTGTTGTGAGGGATGTGGTCATGGGGCTCAGGCGGCGTCACCGTCCCGATCCCTGGAGCAAGCGGCCTGCCAGAGGCATAAATGTTAAAAAATTTAAGTGCTGGGGGTCCAAATTCCCCTTTGGCAAACCCCAGCAGCAGGCAGGCTGCCAGAGGGGGGGGGGGGGAGATGTTTTCCCAGCCCTAAATAAGGCTGAGCTCCCCGCCTCGCCGCTGCGTGGACGCTTGTGTGGTGCTGTGGGAGCCCAACCGGGCTCTGTGGGGCCGTGGAGGTGATGGCAGCGAGGGATGAGGGCAGCAGAACAGCCCCCAGCTCCCTCCCCGTGCTCGGGGACGCGCAGAGCTGCTCCTCCTGCTGCCACCCAAGCGTTTTGGTCCTCGGCCCGAGATCCCTGAGCATCTCGCCGTGGGTCAGGCTCAGCGTGACCCGGCTCCAAATTCCCTGCCCGCATCTCAGGGCAGCTTTTCCTTGGCCTGGGCCCTCGCTTCCAGCATTTTTTCTCGTTTTTCTTCCTCAGAGCTCCTGTCCCCCCTCGGTCACAGCGCTGAGACCCTTCCCCATGCCCCGTGGCTGCAGCATTTGGCTTTCTGCACCCAGCTTCTGCACAGCTCCCCCGCTCCACAGAGCTCCCAAAGCCCTTTTTCTACCCTCTCGCTCCTGACACTGCCCCTTCCTCTCATTTGGTCTCCTTTATTAGCCTTTCTCTTGCTCCCAAGTTCATCAAAATCCATTTAATTGCTCTCTTTCGGAGGCTGACACTCTGCTCCTGCTCTGCCAGCTCCCGGTCGCCGCCAAGCTCTTGGCTCCCCCTGACCCGTTGGGACTGACGTGGGCTTTTCTTTGTCATTATTATTTTTTTTTAATTTATTTTCTTCTGGTGACTTCAAGGCCGGAGTGCCATGGGCAGGACGAATTGGGGCAGAAAGCGAAGAAATGGGGGAAACGAAGCACTCAGGAGGCTGCACGGGGTTAAATGTGATTATTCTTAGAAAATCGTGCAGCTCCAGAGCTTCAGGGGCCCTACGAGCCCCACGCTCCAGCAGCTGACCTCCTAGTGCTGGCTGCTGCCGCTCCTTCTGGTGCTACCTTCCTCTTGTTTAGGGGATGGCACAGAAATTGTGGGTTTTTTTGGGTGTATTTCTGTGTTCTTGCTGTGCCCGAGTCAGGACAGGGGCCTGACGTTATTAGGAACGACATTTATTTTTGGGGAGAGCTGGAAGTGAGGTGGCTGGGAGCCGTCCCCTGTAGCTCCTGATTTCTCCCGTTAGTTTGGGCTTGCTGCTAGACAGAATGGCTGCAAAACGAAAAGCAGGAGCTTAAATCACATCAGAAGCGCCGTGGGCACGGCTGCTTTTACCTGGGGATGAACCTGAACGTTGTTTGTGTGTTTGTTTTTGCTTTCAGCCGCCTTCCCTCATCGCCTGAACCTTTTTTACTTGGCCAACGACGTGATACAGAACTGCAAGAGAAAAAACGCCATCGTGTTCCGCGACACGTTTGCAGAAGTGCTCCCCGAAGCTGCTTCGTTAGTGAAGTAAGTAACGGCGCGCCACAAGCGTTGGCATCCCCAAAAACCTCCTCCCTGAACGTCTCCTAACTCTAGAAACGTTAGCAAAACGTCACGGATTGTTCCTGTTGGGTTCAGCCCTTTAAAACCCTTCGTTTTGAAGGTGTTATTTCGTGCCCTCGTGCTTGCAGACACCAGTCCTGCTTTCCCGAGGCCACTCGGCGTGCTAAAAATGCTCCGGGGCTGTGGTGTGAAGCTCGGGGCTGTGACACCGAGAGCTGTGCCCATCCTGGGGGCTGCCAGGAGGGCGTGCGGCTGCCTTTTGGCCCCCGGGGGATCTCGTTCACCCTCAGGTTCTCAAATATCCCTATCTACGGGTTCTCAAAGTCAGTCTTTAGTCCAAATTTGGGGTTAGAAATGATAATGTGGGAGAAATCACAGTGAGCTTGCTGCTGCTCTCTGGTGTGGGGATGTGATTTGGCCATCCCCCGTTGCCAAAGGCTTTTCTCGGGGGCTCCAAGCCCAGGCAGCCGCCGTTCCCATCCTCTCTTCATCCCCATCAGAGCTCCTCATTCCCTGCTCGGATCCTCCAGGGCAGCTCTTCTGGATCCGAGCAGGGTTCAGATGATGTTTTAACTCCCTGAGCTGATTTTGCTAGGCACAGAAAGGCCACGGGAGCAGAGAGCAGTGGGCGAGCTCGTCTTCTGGAGGAATCCCCCACCACTGATAATTTATTGCCCAGGAAATTCTGTCTGAAGCAGCTCCTCTTCCCTGGGAAGAAACCAATCCTGCCTCCTGCCCCTGAGCAAACACGTTTTTCCAGGGCATCTGTACAGAAAGCTGCTTTGGAAGAGTAACAAATTATTTTTCCCCTGAAAAAAGGCTTCAGAGGAGCCCTGTTGCTGCTCTTACTGCTCTGAAACCACTTAATTTTGCCCCAAAAGGCATGTCTGTGGCCCTGATCCGCTACAATTCTGGCGTGTTTGTGTGCCTGACTTCAAGCAGGCTGCAGCTAGGACACCTTGGAGAAGCATTTCCTCACCTGGATAGGCAACTTCCTGCTCTGAAGGGTCTTGGGAACTTGATTTTAACCTAGAATTACTTTGCTCTTTTTAGAATCATGAGAAATTGGTGTGTGTGGGGGGAAAAATAATAATAATAATAAAAAAAAAACAATCTGCTCTTCTCTTTCAGGGATCCGTCAGTTTCCAAATCTATAGAAAGAATCTTCAAAATCTGGGAGGACAGAAATGTGTACCCCGAGGAAACTATTCTGGCACTAAAAGAAGCTCTGAGTAAGTCATTTGCCCTTTTTGGTTCTTAACTTACCAATGCACATGCAAGTTTGATCTGGTTAAAGACTACTCCTGATGCCAGAGTGAAATGCCTTTGTCGCGTGTGTGCTCTTTCTACCCTTGCACAGAGCCAAAAGGAAAGGTAGTGAGGTGTGAGGGGCACAGAATTTGTCTGTTTCGTGCTTCTTGTACCTAAAGACAGCTCTGAATCCTTTAAGGGAAGCTGGAGTTGTTCCAGCTGAGAGCAAAATCCGCGTGGATGTGAAGTGGTCTTGGAAATCCCGAGCGTTGTGCCCCGGGAGAGGCTGTGTCTGCCTCTTCCTTTGAGCACGAGCCCTCTTACACCTGAACTGAGCCTTGGATGTGATGGAGGTGTGAACAACAAAGGTGGTTTTGTTCCTCTCCACTCAGTTTTAGTGCTAAGCTGTAGTTACTGATATTTGTCACGTAGGAAACCGGCTGAAAGCAAAGCTGGAGGCTGAGGTAGCCTGATTGTGCTCACCGAAACACTCTGCTTAAAAACTGAAATCACTAACACTGACCTGGAAGCGTGTGTAGTCAGGTAAAACCAGCAATTAAGCCAGCACAATTAGCCAAAGATAAGTGAATGAACTTATCTCGAAGGAAATTAGACCCCGTTTGTGCTCTGTTTGGTTACGTCAGTAACAGCCAAAGGAGCTGCAGGAAATCCTTGCCTGTGGTTTCGAAGGGCCAGCTGTAGTTGTTGCAGAGAGATCCAGCACCCTGGGCTCAGATTTTGGCACATGGAGAGTCTGTAGTTGAGCACTGCATGTGGAGAAGTGAGATTTGTGCATCCATTAGGAAACCTGGAGCTTCTGTAACTTGAAATGTGTTTCTGATCACTTGCAGATCAGGTGTGATGTCTGTTTTTTCAACTTGCATTGCTTGTCTGTTGAATGCTAATTTCCTAAAAGCCTACCTAAAGGGCAGTTATAAAACTAAACCACTTTTTTTTTAGATGCATTGTGTTTTTCCTTTTTATTTTGGTCATTACTGTGATTTTTGAACTGTCTTAGTGCAAGGGCAAACAGAAACTTGATTTAAAAATGGAAGACCATCCCGCAGGTTGCTGTATCCCTGAGTAAACTTAGGTTCTCTTGGGCATCCAGCAGCTCATCGAAGGAAGTTGGTCTAGGTATTTTAAAACAAATTTCTGTTCACTCTTTTTACCATACAACCATATGGCACCAAAAACCAGATTCTTAAAGGAATCCCATAATGCCAGACTGCAAAAACTGAAATGTTTTCCAGGTACCACTTTCAAAACTCAGAAGCAGCTGAAAGAAACTCTGAACAAACAACCGAATAAGCCGTGGAAGAAATCTCAAAGTAAGGAACCAATGTGAACTCTCTGAACTAATATAAAAATTGCCTTCTTGAGGAACAGAAGAAAGGCTAGCCCTAAACGGGCAAAGTACCTGGACTAAAATACGAGCCAGCATGCACCTTCCAGGCTTGTAAAGCTCCTTACAGACTAATATGTAAAGTGCCAAGGAGTTGTTGCTAGAGAACCACTTTTTTAAAGGAATGAAGTATGAAAAAAAAGACTTGAGAGCAGAGAGTAGAGGAAAGATCAGGTGAAACCTCTTGGAAACTGGCGTTAGGCTATGCAGAGATGGAGAGAAGACAGACAGAACCCTGCGCTTGGGCAGCAGGAAGGCGTGGTGGACAGGACCTTCATGTTCAGGAACACATCTTCACCAGCAAGCTAGATGCTAGAATAAAAGCAACCTGCAAGCTGGCAGTGCAGATAACGAACTTTGCCATCCAACATTCCCAGGAGTGCAGTCTAGCTGGAAATGCATTTCTCACAGGCTAATCTCAGTGTACACTGAAGCCCCGAATGCAAGATGATGGAAGGGTAGGGCTAAGATGCAGCACGTGCCTGCTGGTACCAGGTGCTGAGAGCAGAAGGTTAACGAAAGGGCTTGGAAGCTTTTATTACTTGGCTAACACCACAAGCTGCTTTCCCCAACCAAAGTGCATTCAGCATGGATGAAGGATGTAGCCTTTCACTTCAGATCACACTTTTCTCCTCTTTTGTCCAGAAACAAATGGATTTAGCGTCTTTTGATGATGGGATTCCATCCGTCCCGTTAGTGAGGTGTCAGAGTAGGGGTGTAGGATTTTGTTGAGAGCTTGGTTAAGCCCCATAATTAGGAAAGAGAGACCCCATCTGAAGGAAATAATGAGCTGTGTGGTAGCTCCAAGTCTGGCATTTAGGAAATCTTATTACCTTGTAGGGAAGTATATTTATCAGTCACCTGATAAAGCTCCTAGATCAATGTTTGCAGGGACTTGTCTTCCCAACAGCAGAGCTGGAGAAGGTAACGCACAGCAAACTTGTGTAGCACGTAAAAAAATGAAGTATTAGTCTGATTTGTTGGCCACCATCACAACCTAGCTGTGCGTGACCGTGTCCGGTTTAGATAACGAAAAGCCAGAGCACTGAGGGACATCCGTGTGGAGGGCAAGCTGCAAGGAATAACAGCAGCCTGCGAGTCTTTTGTTGAGTTTTGTTGAAATGTTTTTGATTAGAGCTGCCTGTTGTGACTTTTGATTAGCATCAAGCTGCGATTCCTCGTTTCTTTATACTTTTCCTTTATCCCAACAGCATCCACCAACCCAAAAGCTGCTTTGAAGTCCAAGATTGTCGCTGAATTCAGAGTAAGTCTGCAAGTGGAAATGTTCTGTTGTGCTAACCTCTGTCCTTGGGCTGTCGCTTTTCTGTCTTACGTCCACCAGCAGCATAAGCTTGATCAGCAGCTCTGGTCTCCAGTGTCTTTTTGTTTCTTGGTGCTGTTGGCTGCTGGGCATTTCAGCTGTGAGCCTTGTTTAGGGCTAGTAGCGAAAAGTGCAGCTTGGGGTGGCGGAGGAGATGGTGGCAATAAATTCTTCTAGAATACTCCCCTGGAAGGAGCAAGATCCGTTGCAGAAATGCATGCTCACTGCTGAATGTAATGATTAAAAAAAAGTCCTGTCCCTGTTCTTAATCATCACAGCTAAGCCAGGAGACCTGTAGAAGTGCCAGCCCTGCCTAAACCTCTGTCAGCTGATCTGGTGGACTTCAGGTTCAAAATCCAGAGGTTCCCCTAGTCTATTTCTGCAGTAGCTTTAACTCAGAAATGAATTAAATTAATTGAGAAGAAGCATTGCTTGTTGCTGAAGTAGATCTGCGACGTTAGCTTCATGAAGCAGGGGGATCTGTTCCGCAGGATGTGATGAGGATGCTTCTCTTCTTTGATTTTTTTTCAGCCCCAGTCTCTCATTGACGAATTGCTGTTGTATAAGCGCTCGGAAGACCAGATAGAACTGAAAGAGAAGCAGCTCTCCACTATGCGAGTGGATGTGTGCAGCACTGAAACACTGAAATGCTTAAAAGGTAAAGATAGCATCTGATGTATAAAAACTGCTGTCATGAAGGAGGCACAAATACATGCTCTGAGATGTCACAACTCGTACTTTCTGTTGAGCCTTAAGCCAGAAATCGGACTCTGTGCAGTTCAGAATAACTAAACAGGTGCCAAAAATACTTAATTTGGGCCTGTATGTAGAAACGATCATGAAGGAAGGACAGAACTCCAGATCTTTGCCTCTTCCCAAACAGAAGGGGGCTCTCTGGTTAATAGAAACAGCAAAACGTTACACTTCTGCCTTTATTTATCATTAACCACAAACGAGTTGGAAAACAACAAGGACTGCTTGCAGCTTGGCCTCTTGCAGTGCCTTTAACAGGTTGATGACAGCCTGTTTCTCGTGCAGCCGATCTCCTCATGCACCAGAGGGGTGATGTGTGTCACTTTACACTTTCAGGATGCTGCAGTGGTGTTTTGATGCCACGGTATCGCCCCACATGCAGCCTGCTTAGCGTGGTACATGAATGCTGCTTGCTGCCTCGCTTTGCATGCACAGGGCAGGGCTTTGTGGCTGCTGATCCATGAGCAGAACAGTTTGGGGAGCAAAAACCCCACTGTGCGTGGGGTTTCCTGTCTCAGCTCCCCACTCACTGCTGTTCAGGGGACACTTCTGAGGGTGATGTCCCGTTTGGTGGATGACAGCTGACCCACGCAATGTTATTCTCCTTCTAGACAAAACAGGAGGCAAGAAGTTCTCCAAGGAGTTTGAAGAAGCGAGTTCAAAGCTCGAGGAGTTTGTAAACGGCTTGGACAAGCAAGTGAAAAATGGCCCCTCGCTAACTGAAGCCCTCGAGAACGCTGGTATATTTTATGAAGCGCAGTACAAGGAAGTCAAAGTCGTAGCCAACGTAAGTGTGATTTTCCTCAGCCTTCCTCGTGTGGACTGACGTTTGCCTGTATTTTGCTGGGTAAACTGGAGGCTGAAAAATGCATCCTCTGTCTGTTTGGGAGAAGGAGATGCTACAAAATTCCTGGGTCAGAGGCTGAGTTTGCAGAACCTTGCACATTGCTGCAATTTCAGCTCCTCTGCATTCCTAAAAGGAGAAATAGTTGCACTTAGTCTAACAAATCCTAAATTCTGGAAACCACACGAGGTGTTGTAGTCAGGATGAGAACTAGATGAGCAAACTGAGAGAATTCGGTACAGCATTGTAGAAACAGAACAAACAACCCTCCTCCCAAAAAAAAAGAACAACAGAAACAGTAGCTCATTTGTTTTGTATGAAAATTGTTTTAAGTAACTGGAAACAGCTTTTATCTTCCCCTTCTTATGCGTTCCTTGCTCTGCAAGTCAAAGCTGAGATCTTACTGCAAGGTTCTCAGAGTAGGGTACGGATAATTGGAAATGGAGATGGTTTTCTCAGGATGTGTTCTGCTTTGGTTAGAGAAGTAATTGAGGCATGTTGTCTTCCGATAAAAGCCTCAGTTCAATGTCTGTTCCTTCTCAGGCTTACAAAACGTTTGCTAACAGAGTGAGCAATCTGAAGAAAAAGCTGGATCAGCTGAAAGCAACGCTTCCTGATCCAGAGGAGTCTCCTGTCCCCTCCCCGAGTATGGACGCCCCATCTCCAACGGGCTCCGAGTCCCCCTTCCAGGGGATGGGGGAGGAGGACAGCTCACGTTCTCCAGCAGTGGGAAACCGCAAGACGGCGTCTCCAGAGCCCGTGACAGATAATCGGGACGTGGAGGACATGGAACTGTCTGACGTGGAGGACGATACGTCTAAAATCATTGGTATGTTCTGCGCGAGCAGCGGTGGGACTGCGTAGAAATTGAATCTGCCCAAAACACCCTTTGCAAACCTCATTTGGGATGGAGAGCAGGTGCAAAACCCTCGCTGGGCTGTGGACGGCGCACTTGAGTTGCAGTCTGCACCACTCCTCCAGCCCCAGCAGGGAAGTTGTGAGCTGCCTGGGATTGTTTCCCACTCCCAAACCACTCCCCAGAATGCTTTTTAGATAACCTCAGGGAGTCAGACTCAAATTCCCTGCCCGGTGTTAAATGAAGATCACATTGAAAAAAATCTCATACCCTAAATAACCCTTAAAGGACAGAGAGATAATTCTGGGCTTCTTCTCCCTTGCTGCAGTGGAGGAGAGGAAGGAGAAGCAGGCTGCTCCACCTTCAGCCCCTGTGAAGGCTGAAAATGCCCCGAAAGTGGCGCCAGCCACCGCTGCTGTCAGCACAACCTCGGTGACGGTGACAACGCCCGCCCAGACTCCTCCAACTCCTCCAGCTCCCAAGGTGGTGAGCGCGGCGCCCGTCCCTCCATCGCCAGCTCTTGCCTTGCCAAACCTGGCGAACGTCGACCTGGCAAAGATCAGCTCCATCCTCAGCAGTTTAACTTCTGTCATGAAAAACACAGGTGAGTGCTGAAGTGGTCCCGGCGCAGGTGCTTGCCTTTGAAGAGCTGACGGTGGAGTTTTCCCTCTGTAATCTTTTAGAGCTAAGTTGTCACAAAATAATTGTCGCAAAATAAACACGATTGAGTTATTGCTTAAAGATTGAGTTATTGCTTAAAGATTGGCTCGGTCTCTCTGACACAACTCTTGGCTTCGTGAGCCTCTCCTTGCTCACGCTCACTGGAACTCTGCTGTGGTTTTATCTGTGGGAAACGCGAGCCAAAAAAGCTCCTCTTAACGAATCAACATAGGTGAGCGGTGTGTGCTTCCATCCTAGGTGTCAGTCCTGCATCAAGACCTTCTCCAGGAACCCCGACAAGCCCAACAGCTCTAACTAGTGGCCTGAAGACTCCTGTCCTGGGGACTCCGTCTGCTCCTTCAAACCCGTTAGCAAATATTCTCTCCAAAGTGGAGATAACTCCTGAGAGCATTCTGTCTGCCCTCTCCAAAACCCAGACTCAGACTGCGCCAGCACTGCAAGGTACTGGGGTGGATTTTGAGTGAATGTCTTAACGGTGCGTTCCACGTCAGCGTTGGCGCTGACACGTGCTGCTCTGCAGCCCTACAGCGAAAGTGAGGGGAGAAAAAGCTTAATTGAAACGTGTTACAATTTTTGGCAAACAATAGATGACCTCCTCAGGTAACAGAAGTGTTGTGGAGCGGTGTTTTATTACCTTCCTGTACATCTTCACGTTTCTGACGTGACCGTTGGGCATTTTTCCCGGAGCACTTCATGGAAGAACAGGGAGTGTGACGGGAGAGCAAATGAGGTCATTGTGGTTTCTTTGTGCTTCTGAGAGAGCTTTTCTAGTGGTTAGAGCAGAAAACTTCTCAGAGGCGCTCGTCGTGCTTCTGCAGCTCTGGTCAGCAGCGCAGCGCGCGCGCCTTTTATACTTGGCTACAAAACCAGGATGAGTTATTACTGAACTTACTCAGACGTATGTTGTAATTTTTATTTATAGGTTAATTATTGCCTCTGGCAAAAGTCTGTAGCTCTGTGGGTGCTCACATTAATATTAAATGCAGCAAAATCCAGTCGTTTTCCTGGCTAAAACACGAAGTAGTTTTAAGGAACATCTGTAATATAAATGCAGGAGTCTCGCCCTTGACAGTGGTTGAAGTTCTCTTGCCTCTTACCCCCGTATCTGAACGCAGCGTTCTTTCTTCCAGGTCTGTCATCCTTACTTCAGAGCGTTGCTGGAAACACCATTCAGTCGAGCGAAGCCGCCTCGCAGAGCACTTCAGCGTCACCAGCCAACACAACTGTACCGTGCGTGAAGGGAAGGAATATTCCTTCCAACACCCAGTCCTTTATATCCAAAACTTTTGGTTATTCTCCCAATTCGTCAACCGCCGAGGTTTCCTCGACTTCAGTTACGAAGGCTCCCATTGGACATACCGCGGGGCTTTCAAGTTCCAGTTTTAAGCCGCCAACCAATTCCCTGGGATTCTCCAGTTCCCACCCTCCCAGTCCTTCCTCCCTTTTACCGACAGACACCTCAATGAGTCAATCCTCCGAAATTTCAAAGGCGAAGCTGGAATCGGAACCCCCCTCCCCAAGCCTGGAGATGAAGATACACAATTTCCTGAAGGGAAATCCCGGCTTCAGCGGCCTGAACTTGAATATTCCGATTTTAAGCAGCTTAGGGTCCAACATCGCAACGACGGAAAGTCACTCGGCTGACTTTCAGCGTGGTCCTACCAGCACTTCCATGGACAATGTGGACGGAACGCCGGTGCGCGATGAGCGGAGTGGGACGCCCACCCAGGACGAGATGATGGACAAGCCAACGTCCAGCAACGTTGACACCATCTCCTTGCTGTCAAAAATCATGAGCCCCGGTTCCTCTACTCCCAGCAGCACCAGGTCCCCTCTCCAGAGCAGGGACGATGGCTATCCCCAGGAGCTTTCCAATTCTGTGCACACCTACCGGCCCTTCGGCCTCGGCAGAGATTCTCCGGCCGGCATGTACAAGCAGCCTGCAGATAGCATGGAAATCCCCTCCTCTTTAATGGACTCCTCACAGGAGAAGTTTTACCCAGACACGTCTTTCCAAGAAGATGAAGATTACCGTGACTTCGACTACTCCGGGCCCCCCCCGTCTGCCATGTTAAACCTGGAGAAAAAGCCCGCAAAGTCGATTTTGAAATCGAGTAAATTATCCGAAGCTGCGGAGTACCAGCCGGTCCTGTCCAGTTACGGACAAAGATCGCAGGATTTCAGCGTCAAGTCGTCGTTCCCTCAGTCGATGAGGTCTATCCTCGATCAGAGCGAGAGCTGCGACCCGCTCTCGACATCTCCAGGGATGTACGGGAGCTACGGGCTGCGGGGCAACGACTCCACCTCGGATGGTTCCCCTTCGCCCAGTAAGAACGACGTTTTTTTCGCACCCGACTCCAATCACAACAACTTACCGAAACCCGTGGTGCACTCGGGCCTCTCGCAGAAGCAATACCCGGACTCGCCCCACTCCATTCCCCACCGGTCCCTTTTCTCCTCCCAAAGCCCCGCGGGCAGAGCGGCCGCGACGGGCGTGGACAAATCGTTGGGATCTTCCATTTCCGCCACGTCCACGATGGAGTTCAAGAACATGCTGAAGAACGCCTCGCGTAAGCCCTCCGAGGAGAAGCATTTCAGCCAGATTTCTAAAAGCGGCTCCAACGAAGGGGTCGGCTTGTCCAGCCACGGCCAGGCCGGAGGGGCCAAAGGCGAGCAGCAGCAGCAGGAGGAGCACTACCGCATCGAGACCCGGGTGTCGTCGTCCTGCTTGGATTTACCCGACAGCACCGAGGAGAAGGGAGCCCCCATCGAAACTCTGGGCTACCACAACGCCTCGAGCAGCAGGGGCATGTCCGGAGAGCCCATCCAGACCGTCGAGTCCATCCGAGTGCTGGGGAAAGGAAGCAGAGGCCACGGGCGAGAGGCGAGCAGGTCGGGGTGGTTCGAGATGGGCAACGCGGCGAGCGCCTTCGATAACGGGCCCTCGAGCGCCTCGGAGCTGCCCGGCATGGGGGGCTTCCAGGCGCAGTACAAGGAGCACGTGGCGCCCTTCCAGGAGAGCGTGAACAATTTCCGAACGAATAACTTCAGCCCCGCTTTCGACCACCACATGCCACCTCCCATCCCGCCTCCTCCCCTGGAGCACGGGACTCCTTTCCAGAGGGATCCCGTCGGCCCTCCCCCGGGCCCCCCGACCGCTCCCCCCAAGGATCACGGCAGCCTCTTCCCGCGGGATCACTCGGTCCCCCCGCACCTGCCGCCCGTGGATCACACTAACCCCTTCTCGAAAGAAACCTCCTCTCCCCTCTCCCTGCCCCACGGCGTGCCCCCGCCTCCTTCCGTGGAGCACACCGGGGTCCCCTTCCCCGCTCCCCCGCCGCCCCCCGTCCCCGGGGAGCACGCCGGCGTCCCCTTCCCCACGCAGCAGCCTCCGCCGACCGGGGAGCACGGCGGGGTGCCCTTCCCCGCGCCCCCCATCCCCGTGGAGCACGGCGGCAGGCGGCGCCTTCGCCAAGGAGCACGGTACCGTTCACCAAGGGACGCTGAAGGAGCATTTTAACGTGCACCCGGGACCCAGGGAGGCGACGGCTCAGCCCCAGCGGGACCACGGCGGCGGCGCTGGTGGTGGCGGTGGCGGCGGCGCCCCCCTGGGCCGAGTGCGTGAAGCCGTGGGGCTGGGGGGCTCCCTCTCCAGGGAGCAGCAGCTGGGGCCCGCCCGCAGCGTCACCCCCATCGGCGCCGCTCACAGAGACACTGCCAACCGCGGCGGGATGATGGTCAGGAACCCGCGGGCAGACTTCAGGCCCAGGGAGCCCTTCCTAAACAGAGACCCCTTTCACAGCCTGAAGAGGCCCCGGCCGCCTTTCGGGAGGGGATCCCCCTTCTTTGCACCAAAACGCCCCTTCTTCCCCCCCAGGTACTGAAGCAGACGCCCATCTCTTGAGCGAAGGTATTCGGACATTGTAGAGAGCAGGGGAGTAGCGCTTTCACTTGGTTTTTCCTTTTTTTTTTCTCCCCTTTTTCCCTTTCCCTCCCTCCCTCCTGAAGAGCCCCCGTAACACTTTTCCTAAATTAAATGTTCTGTATTTTTTGGTTGTTTATTTCCTAAGCCACCCAGTTGGTGCGAGACTAGAGAAAAAAAAAATGTTTTAACGAAAAGAAGTATTGCTGTTGTAATAAAACTTCCAGTAGTAGTCTAAACAAAAAAAGAGATAAAATGCGCGATGTTGGGATCTTTTTTTAGCTAATTACCAAATTCGCCTCCCGAGCCCTCGCAGCCCGTGTCAGACCACAAGGAGAGGTTGGGGGCAGGAGCTCTGCTGCTGGTAGGGAAGAACGAAGGGTCCAAGCGCTTTTCTGCGGTGATGGAGACCCCAACCACCCCAAACCACCCCAAGCAACCCCTCCTGTGCCTTTCCTGGGGGCGAGTCCCCTCCACCGACACCCCCAGGCTCTGCGGGGCGTCCTCCCCCCGACCGCTTCTCTGGCTGGCAAAAAAAAACCACAACAAGCCCCCGCTCGGTGGCTGCCCCAGGAACCTTGACCTTGGTCTGCTTTCGGGCAGTGGGCTCCGGCCTGTGCGCTCCCCAGCATCTCCCGCGCAGGTTTTGGCCCCAAAAACCAACAAATCGGGAACTCTCCAGTGGCCAGCGTGTTCCCTGCACCCACCTGGCCGCAGCACCCTCTGCACGGCCGCGGCTCGTGGCAGCCCCCGTGCTCACAGCCCCTTCCGTGGAGCTTAACCCCCTTTGGAAAAACCCCTCTGGTTTGTTTTTTTTATGTTTGTTTGTGTTTTTTTTCCCCTTTTTTTTGTTTTTTGTTTTTTTTCCCCTGGGAACACTGTTTGACTTTCTCTGTGTGTGTATATATAACCGCTTTTTAATGCCATCTCTGATTGTGTGAAACTCACAGGCTGTAAGCTGAGAGACAGAACCTGCATGCGGAGGAATGGGGACGAGGCCGGGCCCCCTGCTCCCCGCGTGCTCTCCGCGGGGACGGCCCTGCCGCCGTGTGCGCAGGGGGCTTTTATATGAAGTCGGAATTTTACTTGATTAATTTTTATTTTATTTTATTTTATTTTTAGTTGGTAGAATTCATTACCTATATGTTTGATAAAGGTGTAGGGTTAAATATCTACATAAAAATTGCAAAAAAAAAGAGCAAGTGGCAGAGCATTTCTTTGTTGCGTGTGCTCGGGCTGTGCTTTATTTAACGCAGAGGGGGTGCCCGCGAGGAAGCTGCGAGGTTTTGGACGGGGACCTGGGCGAAATGCAGCAGGGAAGAAGCCAACGAGGGACGTTCAGAGGCACGAGGGGCCGGAGAGGAGAGGAGCTCGGGGCTGCTCGTCCTTTCCCTGTGCCCCAAACCCTTCGACGCCCGGCTCCGACCGCTGCAGGTCATCTTCGTGTCCGGGTTTAGGGTCTGGCCTCCAACCTGCAGCCGCGTGGGGACAGAGCCAGCGCTATCTCCCACCACCTTTTCCCTCTAGATACGAGAATGTGAATGATTTTTCTGCTGCTCTTGCTTCAAGTGGTGATTTCCGAGTCCAGCTGGGTTCGGCTGGGAGGTGAGGGTGGCCGCTCGCCGGCGTCCTGCTGCTCCGCGGTGGCTTTTGAGGTCAGATGAAGTGAAAGGACTCGTGCTAAGGCAAAAAAAAATAAACACAAAACATTTTAAGAGTGGAAGCTGCGAGGTTTTTCTGTTTGGAGGTTTTTCCATTTTCCTCTCTGCTGTTACTTTAAAATAGCAGAGGCCCCACTGTACATATGTAAAAACCACCCGGTGATTTTGGGGACGTGAAGGCGTTTGCTTTTCCTCCCGCGTCTGTGATTTCAACCCCCGTTAACCAGACTTTCACTTTTTGTATTTCACCTGACACGGAAAAGAAATGAAATAAACGTGTATTTTTTAAATAAAAGCATGGAGCTGTGTGTCTCCTCACGGCCACGGCTCGCCTGCGGGACCGAGAGGCCGGATGGACACACGGACACCCACCACACCGTTGGATAATGTGAATAATGTGCGTCTTTTTTTTCTTTTTGATGATTTTTGTTTGTTTTTGTTGTTTTTCTAAACCCTGCAGAATAACCAAGCGTGCTCGGAGGCCGCGGGGGGGTGAGCTGCTGTCATTCCCAAACCGCTGTAAATACCGCCTGCTTTTTTTTTTTTTTTTCTTTCCCTGTGCCTGTAAAGATGAGCGGGGGTGCGTGGGGGTCGGGGGAGAGGAGGCGGTGATGAATCCGCAGATCATTTTGAAAAATGTGTATTAATACATTTAATAAAACACCTACTTCGGCTGGTTTCACACTCTTCTTTACCGGGGCCTTCTGCTTGCCTGTGGGGGCCGCCGGGCTGCTGGTGGCTGCTCCCAGGCCTCTGCTCTCCGCTGCTGCTCTTCCTCCTCCTCCTCATCCTCCTTCTCCTCCTGGGTTTCCCCTTCCCAGGATCTGAGGGCACCCAATTTTCCTGTCCCCCGTGGGCTGGAGATGAAGCACGGCCACGCTGAGGATGAGTGGAGTGAGCATCGATGTGGGCTTGTACCCCAAAACGGAGGCTGCTGCTACGGCTTCGTCCCCACAGCACCCACGTGCAGGATCCTCAGACCTCAGCCTACAACAGGGTGAAGCCTTTGGAGAAAGAGGGGGCTCCCAGACCCTATAACAAGAAGCCCCCCAAAATTTTGGGGGTCCCAGAGTGGGGGGAGCCAAGGCGAGGAGTTGGGGCTGCTTCTGGGTGGGCTACAGGGGGGCTTCTGGTGGGTGGCTGGATGGGATTTGGGATGCAGGAGAGCAAAATGGGGGTGTTTTGGGGTCTGGAGGATTTGGGGCGTTTTGAGGTAAAGCTGGAGGCGGGGACTCAAAATGGCGGCGTTTTGGGGTCGGCCTCCCGCGGTCCTAAACCTTTTGGGGACCCTCAGAAGGGGCCCAGCCCCCGGTGGCGGCCGGGCTCGGGGCCTGAACCGGGGCCTAGGCCCGGATCGGAGCCGGGGGCTGGGGTGGGAGCGGAGCCGGGGAAGCTGAGCCCGCCCCGGGGAGGGCCCCGGCGTCCTCCCGCTGCCGGAAGGGGCGGCCCAGGCCCCGCCATGCCGCCGGCCCTCACCGGGGGGCGGCTGCTGCTGGGGGCAGCCCCTCGCCGCTACCGGGTGCGCCGAGCCCCGTGTTCGGGGTGGGGGGGTCCCCACCGGGGGGCTCCCCCATCACCCTGACCCCCCCCCCCCCGGGTTCTCCCCGCAGCCCCAGGTCGCCGAGCGGCTGCGGCTTTTCCAGCAGCTCCAAGATGCCCGGGAGAGGAGGGCTGGGGGCGATGCCGACGGGGGGAGCCCCCCAGTGGGGACCCCCATCCGCATCGCCCTGCCCGGGGGGCGCTGCCTGCATGGCCGGGCCCTGCAGACCACCCCGCGGCAGGTGGCCGAGCAGTTGGGGTACGGCATTGGGGGGGTCCCCCCGAATCCCCCCTTATCCCCCTGGATCTCCCCGGGTCTCCCTGGATCCCCCTGGGTCCCCCCGGTTCCCCCGTCCCGCTGCCGGGCTCCTTTCCCACCCCCCCATCTCACGATGTCCCCTCCTTGTCCCCGCAGGTCAGGCCTGGCCGCCTCGGTGCTGGTGGCCCGGGTGAATGGGGCCCTGCGGGACCTGGAGCAGCCCCTGGAGGATGACACCGAGCTGGAGCTGCTCGACTTCGCCGCGCCGGAGGGGCGGGCGGTGAGTGGGGGCTGCCACGTGGCCCCCCCAATATCCCTAGTGCCCTCACGTCCCCTCTGTGCCACCCCAATACCCCCCATTGCCCCACATTGTCCCCACATCCCCCATTTCCCCCACCATGTCCGCCCTCATTGCTCCCCGTGTCCCCCCCGATCCCACATTCCCCCGTATCTCCCACGACCTCCATGTCCCCTGTGCCCCCTGGGCTTCCCCCAATAGCCCCCATGCCCCCCACACTCCCTTTTTCCCCCATGTTTTTCATTCCCTTGCTGTTCCCGATGCTCCCCACGCTTCCCGTGTCCCCCACCACACACCCTGTGTCCCCCGCGCTTCCCAACATCTCCCGTGTCCCCCCCGTGTCCCCCCGTGTCCCCAGGCTTTCTGGCAGTCCAGCGCCTTCGTCCTGGGAGCGGTGCTGGAGCAATTCTACGGAGCCACCCTCTGCAGCACCGTGGCCACCGAGGATGGCTTCTTCTGTGACGCCCACATGGGGGACAGGTACGGGGCCTTCGGGACATGGGGGGCGATGGGGACGGTGCCCTGTAGGGTCCCTCCTCACACCCCGAGCTCATCCCCATGCCCCACAGGACGGTGCAGCGCAGCGAGCTGCCGGCGCTGGAGGACGCCTGCATGGCTTTTGCCCGTGCCCAGCATCGCTTCGAGCGCCTGGAGGCCACCCGCGAGCAGCTGGGGGAGCTCTTCAAGGTGAGACCCCCCCCTCGGGTGTCCCCTCCCCGAGCACATCCCACTCGGAGCTGGTGGAAACCTCTGCCACCCGCCTTGTTCCCCCCCCCCAGCACAACAGCTTCCAGCTGCAGCGCATCCAGGAGGAGGTGACGTCCCCCACGGCCACCGTCTATCGGTGAGCGCCGGGTGTCCCAGGGTGACATCCGTGGGCTGTTTGGGGCAGGGCGGTGACACGGCCGCCTGCTGTGTCCGTCCTGTCCATCTGCCGTGTCCGTTTGTCCGTCTGCCACCCTCGCAGGTGCGGCCCCCTGCTGCAGCTCTGCCGCGGCCCCCTCCTGGGGCACACGGGGCTGATCGGGGCCCTCCGTGTGCTGACGGTAAGCTCAGCGGGACGGGGGACGCGGGGCTGGTTGGGGACCCAGCCATCCGGGTTCCCTGATGCCGCCCCCCTCCCCTTTTGCTCCCTTCTCTCCCCGCAGAGCTCGGCTGCTTTTTGGGGGGACCCCACGGAGCGCCGCTCGCTGCAGCGCGTCGCCGCCGTCGCCTTCCCCAGCACCCAGGAGCTGGAGGCCTGGCAGCGGGCGCAGGACGCGGCCGCTCTCCGCGACCACCGCCGCATCGGCCGGGTGAGCCCTTGGCAAAAGCCAGGATTTTGAGCCCTGGAAAAGGAAAAGAGCCCTGGATTTTTGGGGGCTCGGATGCCGGCGTCCCCCGCTGGTGATGTTTTCCCCAACCCCCCCCGCAGGAGCAGGAGCTCTTCTTCTTCCACAAGCTCAGCCCTGGCAGCTGCTTCTTCCTGCCCCGCGGCGCCCACATCTACAACGCCCTCGTCGACTTCATCAGGGTACGGCCACAAAACCTCCCCCGAGGCCTCGGGGGCTGTCCCCTTACACCGCCGCTGTCACCGTCCCCTCCTCCGGGAGCCGCTTGGGGACGGGGCTCTGCCTCTGCCCACTGCGCCCCGACCTTTTGGGCCCCCCCATTGTGGTTTTGTGTCGGAATCGGTAGCGTTAGGCGCACGTTTGGCTCTTTTCCAACCTAAAATATTCCGTGAACGCCCTCGCCTCGCCGTGGGGGGGCCATGCAGCTCCCCCAGGGCTGGGCTGACGTCCCCACCGCGTCCCCGCAGAGCGAGTACCAAGCCAGGGGCTTCTGCGAGGTGGTGACCCCCAACGTCTTCAGCCCGCGCCTCTGGGAGCTGTCGGGGCACTGGGAGCATTACAGCGCCCACATCTTCTCCTTCAGCGCCGGCGCCGAGACCCTTTCCCTCAAACCCATGAACTGCCCGGCCCACTGGTGAGCCGAGCGCGTGGGGCTGAGCGTGGGGCAGCAGGACAGGGCTCGGCGGGGCTGACACCGCGTCCCTCTGTCCCTCTGTCCCTCTGTCCCTCCCCAAGCCTGATGTTCGCCCACCGGCCCCGCTCGTGGCGGGAGCTGCCGCTGCGCTTGGCCGATTTCGGGGTCCTGCACCGCAACGAGCCCCCCGGCTCCCTGACGGGGCTGACGCGGGTGCGGCGCTTCCAGCAGGACGACGCGCACATCTTCTGCACCCTGGAGCAGGTTTGGGGGTGCCCCCCCGCCCCCAAAAGCTTTCCCTACGCCCCCCCTGCTCCCCAAATATTTTCCTGCTCACGGCTCCCTCCCCGCAGCTGGAGGCCGAAATCGGCGGCTGCCTGGACTTCGTGCGGACGGTCTACGCCACGCTGGGCTTCTCCTTCCGCATGGCACTGGCCACGCGCCCCGACGGCTTCCTGGGGGACGCCGCGACCTGGGACCGCGCCGAGCAGGTGGGGACAAGGACTGAGTGTCACCAGGAGGTGGCTTTGTCACCGTGTCCCCCCTCCTGGCTTCGCTGTCGCATCCCCCGCGTGCTGCGTGCGTCACCTCCATGCCCCGAACCTCCTGGGCGTCCCCTCCTGGCCGTGTCCCTGTTGTTGGGGGCTGTCTGCGGTGTCCCCCTGCCCCGTGCGCGGTGTCACCTCCCCTGCTGTCACCTCCCCTGCGTCAGGTCCCCTCCGTCTGCACCCCAGCCCCACATCCCAGTGTCCCCATCCCACCCCCACCACCTCCCCGCGTGGTGCCCGGTGCCCCCCTTCCCACCTTCACCCCCCCCCCATCCTCTGCGTCACGTCCCAGTGTTCCCAGTGCCCCCCCCCCACCACGTCGTGCCCCCTCCTCACCTCCCCGTTTGCCCCCCCCTGCAGCAGTTGGAGCGGAGCCTCCAGGATTTTGGGGAGCCCTGGGAGCTGAGTCCGGGTGACGGCGCCTTTTACGGCCCCAAGGTGAGCTTCGCCTCGCGCTGCAGGGGACGGGGGGGTCCCGAAGGAGCCCGTGGGGACATGAAGGGGCCGTTTAGGACCCCCCAGGTCTGAGAGTCGGGGTGGAAAGAGCTTCACTTTGCTGCCCCCCCCCCCTGCTTTTTTGCAGATCGATATCCGAATTCAGGATGCGCTGGGGCGGCATCACCAGTGCGGCACCATCCAGCTGGATTTCCAGATGCCCGAGAGGTTTGGGCTGGAGTACGCCAGGTGAGGGGGGGGTTGGGGGGGATTTGGGGATTTGGGGGGGCAGGATTGGGGATTTTGGGGGCAGGATTGGGGATTTGGGGGGCAGGATTGGGGATTTGGGGGGCAGGATTGGGGACTGGGAGGGAGATAGGGGTCGGGAGGGGTGCTCAGGGTTGGGGATGTGTTTGGGAACGGGGACAGGATTGGGGCCGGGGGGGGTGTTGAGAGGGGAGGGGGCAGGATTGGGGATGGGGGTGCTCAGGGTTTGGCGTGGGGGGGGCGCAGCTCAGGATTGGGACGGGGTTGAAGGAATTGGGGCCGTCAGAGGGATCAGGGATGGGCAGGAGGGGATTGGGCCACCTGTGGGGTGGGGAGCTCAGGGCTGAGGCTGTGCCCGCCTGCAGCCCCCCCGGTGCTGCCCCCACCCCCCAAAAATACCTCTGTGCCCCCGCAGTGCCGCCGGGGGGGCCATGAGGCCGGTGCTGATCCACCGCGCGGTGCTGGGCTCGGTCGAGCGCATGGTGGCCGTGCTGGCAGAGAGCTGCGGGGGCAAATGGTGAGGGGCTGAGGACACCCCCCCCAAAGTCCTGGGGCATCCCAACCCCCTTGGGCACCCCCAAACCTTAGGGACACCCCCAAATCCCCAGGACATGCTAATCCCCTGGACACCCTAATCTGAAAATGCACCCCAAATCCCTGGGACATCCCAATCCCCTTGGACACCCCCAAACCTTTGGAGCACCCCCAAACCTTAGGGGCACCCCCAAATCCCTGGGGCACCCCCAACCCCTTGGCCCACCCCCACCCCTTGGCCCACCCCCATCCCCAGACCACCCCCAGCAAGCCCCAGGGGTCCCCAAACCATCCCCAATTCCCTCAGCACCCCGTCTCCCACCTCCCCCCTATCCCCCCCAACCCCCCAATCCCCCCCCATCCCCCCCCATCCCCCCAAACCCTAGGACCCC